ACATGATCTGGATAGTCCACAGACATACCATAAACATTTCTAGGACCCATAATTGGTCTCCTTTAAAATAAATTGGCTATTAATGCTGTTGTAAAGCACAACAATATTAAAATGAAGAACTCAAACTACAAAACAACTTAAATTATGCATTAGTTGAAGTTTGGAGACAATTTTTTTAGAAACACATCTGACACTTGTGAYCGGGGGTGCGCGTGACTGCTCTTATGAATAAATGAAACCTATGTAACCCAGTTGTTTACACTTAAATTAAAAATATTTGACCAAAGAAAAGCCGGAGCAGGACTAGAGAAAGATGATTGTGATTTAGATTTTTATTTCTGTGACTGTATATGACCCACGGGAGACATAACATTAACAGCAGTCGTTATTTCATTCCTCAGCTTTAGCAGGTCCTTTAATTCCACAGCTGACGCTGCTAAAAATTACAGATTTTCTTTTCTGATCTCTGAGAGCAGGACTTCCATCTCAGAACTCATAAAGTTCTTCTTTTTATTTTGCAATGTCATTTATGAATGAACACTTCCTGGTGTGTGGGGCAGGAAGCAAAGCCTTATATGGTGTGTTTGGGGTGGTAATTATGCTAATTTCCTCTGCTCGTGCAAGAGCAGCTGGATACACATTCATCAGTTTACACAGCTCATTTACACACTTTTCCTGAAGATAGAAGAGTTTGTTGAATCTGACGTGGCATGTTCGTACGAACCCTTCGTACGAACAAAAGTAAGAGAAATTTAGGATAAGAATATGAAAATATTCTTGCATGAGGCCCAACGGTTCTTGACAAGAAATCTTATTCTGTTGAAAATCCTGTCAATTTCCCTTTTTAAACGGTGGCACATTTTTAAGGAACATGCATGTGTGTGACGAGCAGTGGAGCTGAGTATGTGGGTTGCACATACAAAAAAAATTGCCAAATCTTCTATGCCAAACAGTTTTTGTTTTTGTTGTTGAATCTTGTTTTGAGCTTCTGGTACCCCCATAAAATAAGTGATTGCAAAAATTTACATTCACCATTAAAGTGACAGTTCTAATGGAAAATGATCCTTTTAAAAGTACAAGTTGGGATGGATACAAAAATATTTTCTAGACCCCAAGCCTCCCTGGGAGTTCTGTTAAATTCATCATCAAGAAATGGAAAGGATATGGGACACAATTAAATCTATCAAGAGAAGGTTGTCTTCAAACTGAGTGACTGAGCAAGAAGGAGAATAGAAAGTGAGGTCCCCAAGACCCCTGTGATAACTCTGAAGGGACTTGAGGGCTTCAGCAGGTAAAATGGGAGAGACTGAGCTACAACATAGCATCAGATTTTCCTGCAGGATTTTCTTAAATTTGAAACATTGATTTTATTCTCAGTCTTTTCCAACCTTCTGCTAAGTAAAAGAAGATTGTGAAATATGTTGTCGTCATAAATAATTGTTAGAAAGTTCAACCGATTCATTGGTCTGAACCAGAGGCGTTTGCTCTWAGACTGAAATGTAAAAAAATAAAATAAAATAGCTCAAATATATAATTTGAGGACATGTCCTTGACTAAATATGCGCTACAACGCGCTCAACTTTTGTTCAGAATCAGCTTCTTATCAGTGGTAACGACACGGCTTTCCTCTCTCTTATTCCCACAGCTTCACAGTGCTTTAAACAGTGCGGATGCTTATGGAGGTAAATTTGTGTTTTTATTATTCAATCAAACAAAATCATCTTC